ACGATCGGCCTAGCGTAGAATTTATTCTACGTTTATAAACTTGGTCAATCATCGACAAAATCTAATTAATTTAAGGTATATTTTTATTCAACTTTCACATATTTTAAAATAAATACGTGATTGACTTAATCCCCGAGTTTATTTCAATCAATCACTCCCATGTGAACTCGGGTATATAATATGATATAATCAAAGAAAATAAAAAGATGAATGGGCAGTCAAATTAATCAAAGATTTTCCCCAAAAAAAAATAAATGATATTGATTGGTCTTTATTAATTAATTATATTTATATTCTCATAAAGCATTGAATTCAGGAAATTGAAAATGAAAATGGATAAGTTCAGTTTTATTAATTAATGCATTTATTATATAAAATTTAGTTTAATTTTTTTAAATAATAATTTTATTAATGTAGCCGAGAATATGTTTATAAAAATAAATCAAAATAACAAAAATAGAGATAATTAATTATATATGACGCACAAAAAAGACGAGAAAAAGGGTAGAAAAGTCAATTCAATTTGCTCCATTTGATCTGCTCGGCCCAAGTTTAGAGCCACCTTGGTTCTAAATTGGGCTGATCATGGACCTGTGACTGGGCCGAAACAAGGTTTGGGCCATACGTTATGTACAAATTTGAACCATAAACGGGTTGGTTATGAAGATGTTTTCATACCCTTATAAAGAATATATCGTTCCCCTCTTCAACTGAGGTCTCACAATCCATCCCCTTCGAGGCCAGCATTCTCGCTAACTCTTGTTCCTCTTTCCAATTGATGTGGGATCTCGTACAAAGAAAAGATGATATTTTCCCATGTTTCAGCTATAGATAGCAGCAACCTGCAAGTCGACACAAAAGTTGTAACGACCTAGATCTACAGCTAGCAGATATTGTCCTCTTTGGGCTTTCCCTTTCGAGCTTCCCCTCAAGGCTTTAAAACGCGTCTGTTAGAGGAAGGTTTCCACATCATTATAAATGGTGGTTTGTTCTAATGATATATCTTCCTCCCCCATGTTCAGCTATAGATAGCAGCAACCTGCAAGTCGACACAAAATTTGTAATGACTCAGATCCACCGCTATCAGATATTGTCCTCTTTGGGCTTTCTCTTTCGGGTTTCCCCTCAAGGCTTTAAAACGCGTCTGTTAAGGGAAGGTTTTCACACCTTTATAAATGGTGATTTGTTCCAATAATATATCTTCCCCTCTTTTTCCAATACACCTATTGGAAGTCATTCTTAGGACGTTGACAACGATGACCCAAATCCACCGCTAACAGATATTGTCCTCTCTTGGCTTCCCCCCAAGGCTTTAAAACACATCTGCTAGGGGAAAGTTTCTACACCCTTATAAATGGTGGTTTGTTCTCCTCCCCACGACCAATGTGAGACATCACAAAATTGAAGGCTCAATGGTGATCCACCGTTCATTTTTTGTTGTCCTTCTATTTTCATTGAGTACGAGTTCTAGATTCAAATCTCCGAGCATACCCATAATTCTGAATAAAAAAAAACATAATTTTTTTTAGTAAATTACTTTTTATTCCACAAATATTCTGGATGGTTGACACGTGTAAGCTAAAAATATCAGTAAATTCCAAATGAAGCAGAGAATCTGATGGAAGTTGATAAGTTAATTAAAGCTTCATCCCACTGTGTCTTGTGACAAATATATCTGCCAGAAATTAAATAAATAATTTTAAAAAATTTTAAAAATAAATAAATAAATAAATAAAAATTTAGGCTTTAATGAAACACACGAGATGTCCATAATTCTCCAGCTGTTTCAACTCCTCATGTTTCAACTAACTTCCCTTTTAATCTTATCTCCAAACACAACCAAATCCCATTTCCATTCATTTTTCAACCCATCTCATGGAACACGACCACGACCAACGCCGGAGCTACGGCCACCACCATATCGCTCGGAAACTCAACTTCGACGCTCCCCTTTTGACCACCCGCCGTCCCGCCGCCGCCAATGTCGGTATCGGCCGCTTGAGTATCTCCGGCTCCACAACCAGCGATGGAGTTCCTTTCTGTTGGGAGCAAGCTCCTGGCAAGCCCAAGGACTACGTCGAGAGATGTCACGACGTCGTTTACGACAGCTCCGCTACTACTCCTCGTCCTACGCTTCCGCCTCGATGGTGGCGACCACCGATTCAAACAAGTAGGGTTTATGAAATTTTTTTAAATTGGTTTGAATTGGAAATTTAGTTTATATGATTTGATTTGAAGTTTGAAATTTTCAGAAGAAAACACTCGACATAGTGAGAGTGACGACAATTTGAGTGAGAGCGATTATGTCTTGTCCGATGTCGTGGATGTGTTCTCGTTGTCAGAGGCCATCGACATAGTCGAGAAGGCCGAGAAGGATTTGAAGCTAAACGAGCTGAATTTATATAGAGAGAAAGAAGAAAAAGAAGAAGAAGGAAAGAATGTGAGTTACAAGCGGTCGTCGAATTTCATGATCGAGCGGTTTCTACCGGATGCAACGGCATTAGCCGCCTCGTCGGTGTTGAACCGCCACGCTTTCTCGCCGCAGAGGGTGGGAGGGAGGCCATTTTCACCGCCGAAGGGTTGTGGGCTAGACATGCTGTTTCCATGGCGGATAAAGCACCACCATCGGTTGTGTGGAGTGAGAAGTCCGGTGAGGGACGACAACCGTAGGGTTCCATCCAAATCTTCTGTAAAGCAAAAGAAACATATAATTTAGTTTCAATTCTTAATTTAATCTATAGTTGTATAAATTTTTGCACAACAAAACCCTAATTCATGTACTCATTTTTGTTCGTTAAAGTTTGGAAAAATTCCGTCACTCTTTTTAACCATTCAAACATATTGACTTTATGTTAAAATTATTTAATTAACGTACAAAGGAAATGTGAAACAAGAATTCTCCTATATTTTTTCGAGAAAAGAAGTCTGAAGGTTGAATGTAGTATGGTAAGTCTTAAAATAAGGAAAATAAAGTTCTAAATAAAATATATTATTATATTTTTAAATAACAAAATATAAGAAGCAAATTCCACTTTGGAAAAGGCGTCAACGCCTAACACATATTTTAACAAAAATTATCGTCAACAGCAGGATTCGAACCTGCGCAGGCAAAGCCCAATAGATTTCGAGTCTATCTCCTTAACCACTCGGACATATTGACAATTTGTTCATATTTTGTTAAATTAATTAATTAATCATAAACGTTTAAGTGAATTAATTGTGGACTGACCTAAGAATCTTACTCATTCACACTACCCATCCAACGAGAAAAGTTTTGTTTATATTTATTTCGATTTAGGTTCGATTAAATTTAAAAATAAAAAAATAAAAATTTCTAGAAGGTTCCTAAGTTGACTTTTGATCCGACCACCGAAAATAGGGTTACAACTCAATCCTCCCATTGTACTTTGAATTTTATGAGATTTTAGTTATTAATGTAACTTGTATAATAGATAAGTAGTGTTATAAATAATTAAAAAAAAAACTCAACCTAACCCAACCCGAAAATAGAGGGTTAGATTAGATTGTGAACTCTATTCGAATTACTCGGATCATCAACCCAAAATTTCGAGTTGATCCTAAATATTTTTCCACCCCAACCCATGTACACCCGTAAATTCGACTAAATAGTTCCATATAGACGTCCTTTGAAAATATGGCCCTCGAGAAAATTTCTAATATTATACATACATTTCTTTATTCAATATATGAGACATCATCTGATGATATATTATTTTATTGTTTGAGTTTACATAATCATTTTTTTTTATGACAAAAGACGAATGAAGATATACGAAATTTTCTCTTTTTATGTTTTTTAGCCCGACATTTTATAAATTATGTATTCACATATTTTTCATGTGTAAAACGACGTCTTATTTGAAAGTTTCAAATTTAAATCGTGCTATTTCGCAAAAATCTCGCTTCACTTTGCTTTCTTCGACAATCCATTTGTGGTTATGAAATGTCAGGTATCTCGTCTTCGTATAAAAACAATCATTAATTATAGTGGCTTTAGAATTAGACCGATTTCATGTTGTAGAATGAATGCAAAGTTTGAACGGAAGTTTATAAGATGAGACATGAATTTTATAGTGTGAACGATTTGAAACTATGTTCGAATGTTTTTTATTATAAGGTATTTGCGTTATTAAATGTTTAAATTTTGTGTTTAAGACATTATATTTTCTTAATTTTTTATCCAGAGATGGTTAGCAAGTAATGCTACTACTAATTCTCGTTCGATCGGTTTTCTTTCGAGAGCTTAAACCAACATTCTAACTCATGTATCGTGAATTGGATCAAGACCAACAACCTTTTAATTGGATTTGCCTCTCGAATTGACTATTGAAAATGCAGTGAGGTGATGCTCTCTTTCAATGATATGCATCTCAAACCTAGTCTCCAACTGGCACAGAATTGACCTAGCACTCGAGGTGCCTCTCTCCAGTCTCAAGAACTCGAGCAGTCATTATAGTGGTAGCCAATTTAAATTGTGTAGCATATTTTTATAGTCAAGAACTCGAACAGTCATTATGTTTCTGGTGGGTCTATCGTCAATGTTCCCATGCAAATTATATTTTATCTTTTTCAAAGTAAGTCATAACCAAAATAAAATGTCATAATTTTATTTTAATAATTTTTATTAATTAATTTAGTATGAAAAGTTAGCTTTTAACTGAGTTATCTAAAAATAATAATAACATCTAAGATTAGTAATATAAATAGTATTTAATTTTAAATTTGGCATTAATTTATAAATCGGTAGTATTCAAGATAAAAAAACAAATCCAAAAAGCCGTCAACAGCAGGATTCGAACCTGCGCAGGCAAAGCCCAACAGATTTCGAGTCTGTCTCCTTAACCACTCGGACATATTGACGATTTGTGTAATCGTACCCATTATTATTTTATTAATTTCTTCAATTTTAAATTAAATACATTGATTTTTGGCGCCAAAACAAAATTGATTTTTCTGAGTTGGAGCCCTAGGAATGAAGATCGCCCGAAAAAGGCTTCCCCACTGACTCCTGAATTCAAAATTTTCTATCCTCACTTTACTTTTCTGCTCTCCCCTGAAATTTCCCCTACTTCCAGGAACCTCGTTGTCGATTTGTTGTTCAATTAACAGGAATGGCAGATTTCGCCGGAAAGTTCAATATCGAGGAGCTTTTATCTTATGGCGATGATCTGGTAGCGCTCTTGAACGACCAAAATGACGTTCAAACCTTGAATCAATGTCTTGAACATTTCAAGACGCTTCAATCTTCTTGCTTCGATGATTTCAGTAATGTTCAAAGCTCAGTTCAAGGTCTACTCTCTCTCTCTCTCTCTCTAAATAAAGGCTGTATTTCAAATCATTTCGAGGTTATAGATTCTAGGTCTTTTGCAGATTATGAGAAGAAAATCGAGGCATGCCGGCAGAAAACAGAGGAGGCGAGAACGAGCACTGTTTCAGATGATGAAATCGATATTCTCGAAAAGGAGCTCGGAGAGGAACTTGGCAAAGGGAATTTGCTCATGGAGGAAATTAGATAAGTGTAAAATTAACTTTTATTGTTAAATTATTCATATGATTGTTTGCTCCTAATGTATTTTCCTGTCACATGTATGTATGATGCACCTGCTTTTCGTCAACACAATTATCACCAGTGAGATTAATGATCTAGACCGCCAAAGGATTTCTGTTCAAGAAAGGAAGCAGGCAATGAAGAAACTTGAGCAACAAGAACTTAGGACGCAGTGAGTTTCTTTTCTGTTTTCAAGTTGCTTTGTCATCTGTAATTGTGACTTAATTTGGTAGCAATTAACTAATCCTTTGAATTTTGTATCTATTTTTCAGCATTGTGCAGTATCAAGTATTATCTGACAAGCACATCCCTTTTAATGTATTTTTAGTTAGAAGGTTTACCTTTTATGCACATAAATTATAGGTTATTGGCACCTTTGTTCTTCCTATTGATAGCTTATGGTTAGAAAAGTTAACAAGGTAGACACTCCTATGAAGATGGCTGCTTAATCTTTAAAGTCATGAACGTTTTATAGTCTAATATCTGATTCATGATATAGATAATGCCAACCTCTTCAGATATTAAAGCTATGGAATCTTTGTCCTGTGTTGAAAATGGAGAGTTTTTCTGTAAGGTATTTGAAATTTTCTAAGAGATGAATGAGAGAAGAAACAGAGGTAACAATGATTAGTAAACAACACTACCAAGTACAAATAGTTGTCAAAGTCATTATTTAAAATGAGGTGGACTGGACTAATATGTTACCACATTAAATAGGAAAGGGTTAGATTTATGGAATATAAGCGAGGAGAATTATCTTCCTTGGTACGAGACTTTTTAGGTGAAACCAATGAGAGGATACACCAAATTAGACAAAATAACATTGTGGAGGGGTGTAACGGTCCAAGCCCACCGCTAGCAGATATTGTCCTCTTTGGGCTTCCCCTCAAGGTTTTTAAAACGCGTCTACTAGGGAGAGGTTTCTACACCCTTATAAAAAATGTTTCGTGCTCCTCCCTAGCCGACGTGGGATCTCCCAAAAGGGTGTGCCGGATTCACTGTCCTTCACATTTGGAATTGTAGTTCATTCCAGAATTGAATTTGTAGTAGTTGCAATTATCGTATTCTTTTTTAACCATGAACTTATAAACTAGGTGGCCATCAAAGATCTCTTACAACTCAATTCTCATTAATCTTTTGATAACGGTAACCTGACAATTCTCATGTTTTGAATTGATTCAAATTTTATTTTTTTCTTGCAGGAGGAAGCTTTCAATGTATGCTTCGGTCACTGATATAATACCAAACATGGATGATCAGTCTAAAATTTCTGGCCGTATCCTTCATCTGAATTTGTACTCTTTTCTGTTTCCTTATTGCGATTTCTTTACCTTAACGTTAATCAACTACAGATATTGTGGACAGAAATAAACGGGTTGTGCAAGAGTTTGAATTCGACCCGACTAATATATCTTCTTTTGATATATGCAATGGCATTTGGAATATGATTAATTCCCCATAGTACCATACATCCATTACATTGTGAATTAGCAGCTTATTATATCTTGTCCCATCTTCTTTCTGCACCTCATGGTATTAAAATCGAATGTTTATTTTGTTGTATATGTGTGTTTAAGGGACTAATCTCTAAAGTACTGTCGTTTGTGATAACTTATTGTAAATCACATCTCCTTAGTCCTTGATGATTATTGAAGAAATGAATGCCCGTCTATGTTAGGCGCCAAGTCTTGCAAATTGTAAATGCATTATCATGGATATTTGATTCTCAAGGAAGCAACTGACTCTGTCTCCACTCCCTTCATCTGTATGGCAGTTTAAATTCTAAGATCTATTATAGTCTGCTCATATTAGTCACTGAAAATGATTGTAATATCACTATGGATCGTACAATGAAAATATGACGATCCTAGGATGTTGTTATATGGAGTTTTGTTGTGGTTCCGAAGCAATATAGTATGCTTGTAATACTCATTTGTATAACAATCAGCAAATATATGAGCATTGTTCAGAATAGAGTTTGGACAGGGAACACGAGAAACCATGGCCTCCAGAAAGCAATAAGTACAAGATCTAGACATCACCTGCCAATCATAATATCAGATTCAATCTCCACAAGCAAATACCATTATGAAGGGTTGGTATAAGAGCCATGTCCTTAACTTAGTCATGTAGAATCCTCAAGTTTCGAACAAAGAAGTTGTGAGTCTTGAAAGTGTAATCAAAAGTGACTCAAGTGTTGAACAAAGGGTGTACTTTGTTCGAGGAGTCAAGCCTCTATTAAGAGGAGGCTATTCGTGGGCTCCATAGACCTCAAAGGAGACTATATGATGTACTTTGTTCGAGGAAAAGATTGTTGAAAGGGAGTCCCACATTGGCTAATTAAGGGGATGATCATGGGTCTATAAGTAAAGAATACATTTCCATGGTTTGAGAGTTTATGCTCAAAGTGGACAATATCATACTATTGTGGAGATTAGTGGTTTCTAATGTACTCCTATCAGGTTCTATTCTTTCCCTTAATCTGTTTTATGTTTTATAGCATTAATAGCTGATAAGAAGTTCCCAACTTTTATACTGTCTGAGCGAAGGCAACATTACAATCAGCTCATGAACTAATGTTAGCATCATCCTATCATTATCTTCTAGTACTGTTATTACAAATTAGAAACTCCTCCATGTCTCTAGTATCTAATTTAATGGCTGTTTGATCTTGAGATCCTTCCTTGCCAGCGTTTAAAATGTTGAGTTTCTTGTTGGAGTTCCAAACCAGTCTTGACTACCAGCATTGCTATTTTCCAGGTATTGCCAAGCCATTGTAGGCCTGCAAGCTTCTGGTGCAGTACTTCCTTTGCAGGCTTCGCATATATAGGCCATGAAGTCTTGGTAGTCCTGATTCAGACAAAAGAAAGCAGCTTCATTTCAGGGAATCACAAGGCAAAGAACAACGAACAAACTAGCTCGAATTGCAGCTGATCGACCTCAAGAGCTTGATTATTGATGATGACCCGTGGAACAAACCGGTGAGGCAGGTTGAGGTAAATGGTCTTGGAAACATACTTAAATTTTTAATTTTTGTATCAAATAAATCATTTTTAATCTCTTTTAGGCATCGAAAAATCTCCAACCGACCTTCCATTTAAATATTGTTAAATATTCCACGTGTTGATTTTTAATTCGACAAAGACAAAGTTTCCAACAACATACGTGTAACCTGAAAAAAGCCTCTTTTTTTCTAATCATTGCTTGGAATGACGCTCGTCCATTCCTCTGCAAGTTTCTGCTTATGCAGACAAGAGAAGAATGTTCGATGATTTCATCAATAGATATCTAATCGAAACCTTAACTGAAACAGGAAATCTGGAAACCATGGAAGGTGGAGCTGCAGAGGAACATCCTCAGAAACTCATTCAACAACGAGGAGGTGAAGAAGAAGAAGAAGAAGAAAAGGAGAAGTCTAGTGGGTTTCTGAGGAATTTCATTTCTAACATGGTGTCTGCCGAGGGAGGTGAAGAAAAGAAAGAAGAAGATGAAGAAAAAGAAAGTGGGTTTTTGAAGAATTTCATCTCCAGCATGGTCTCTGCAGAGGAAAGTGAAGAAAAGACAGAGAAAGAAGAAGAACAAGGAAAGAAAAGTGGGTTTCTGAAGAATTTTATTGCAAACATGGCGTCTGCAGAGGGAAATGAAGATGGTGGGGAAGAGGAAAGGGATAAAAGCGGCGGTTCTGAGTCGGTTGAAGAAAAGAGCAGCGGCGGCAATGGCGGCGCCGGGGGAGGCATTATAGACAATATTGTCTCCCACTTGCCTGCTTCACTTCAAGGTAGGTATTTTCATAGAACAGAAATTTTGAATTCATTGAATTTCAGAGTAATGAAAATTTGAAATTGTGATGAACTAAACAGGTGATGCAGCGACCACAACAGATGAAGCTGCAATTCTGATTCACTCCATTATCCATGAATGATACTTCTTAGTTCTGTTTTGTTTTTGGTTCATAGGGCTCTGTTTCATGTAAATTTAAGTTGTTTTGATTGTCTGGGCTTAGTACTCTTCTTTTTTAAAACAGAGTACATAATAAATAAAGCGACATCTCGATGTCTTGTGTAGGGGCATTCATATGATTTAAGAACCCGACTCATCTAAATTACATATTCTAAATCATAAAAGTTGGAATAAATTTTTAGAAAATTGAAAATTTGTCTACTCATAGAATTTTTTTTAATAGGTCAATTTGATCAACTCACTCGAAAATAGAAATGCGAATCAATTTTATTTTTAAGATTACTGTAAAACTTAAGAATATTTGAGTTTAACTAATATTAATGATGTGTTGTAATTTGTGAATGTTTGATATTTGAGTTTTATGAGATTGTAGTTATTAATATAACATGTATGACAGACAAGTAAGATTCTTTGACCTAACAACTCAATTGAACTCATGCGAAAACAGAAAATTAGGTTGGAACACTATCCGTGTTGTTCGAGTCATCAACTCTATTCGTGTTGTTCGAGTCATCAACTCTTATCGATGCGGATGTGATGGAAATAAAGTCTAATAAAAAGGTCTAATCGTGGCGAAGGATGTGGGGATTCCTTACTCGATTGTAGAAACCAAGCTAGCTTTCAATGCATTGAATTATGAAAAAAAGGTGGACTTAGAAGGAAATAATTGATCCATCTTTTCTCTTGATTAGTACTCATTGTGATCAAATCTTTCAAGAGATAGATATGGTTTACCCACTTATACTTGACTAATAGCAGAAATGTCCATTCTTCTTGCAGGGATGAAACCTTGAAGGGACTCATTCTTATTAGGCCGAGAACGGAGGGAGTGGGAAGAAAAAAAATCTCGAGCTCAATGGTAACTTGGATTATAGTTTAAGTTTATGTGATTAGGATTAAGTCTGACAAGAGCCTACAAGTAGGTTGCATACTGAGTATTTTATCTTCATCCCACGTTATTTTGTCAGATAAAGTGTAGACCACTGTTGATGACAGGAGCGTGTGGAGTCGTGCAATTGCAGGGGATGCCTTTAGATCGAGTCGTCTTCCTTCTTGTCCTTTTATTATTATTTTCAATGCTACTTCTCGAAACTTATGTCTCTCTAGTAAACCATTTTGATTTGACTCCACAAATACTACCTTTTATATCGGTTTTGAATGCTTATTTAAATTTTAAGTCTCCCGTCTTACAAAAGAAAAATCCAACACCCTTTTTACCTTCGAGTGTATGTGGCGACCTGTGATTCGTAGTATCGAAAATCGGGTCATTACAGTTTCAATCACTCAATTCATCAATTCGTATGACTTAAGCTAAACATCCGACATAAGCACCTAAGTTATCACAAAATCCTCAAAGTGGGGTTCCCATTGCCTTTCCATGGGATTGAAGTTGACTTTGAGTTCACTAAATCTCAAAATTCATATTCCAATCCACAAATTCCATTTGATCCAAGTCCCATCACAAAAATATGGATAAAATCAAGGGCTCTCAATTTGGTAAGATGTCAAAACAAAGGTAGTTAGTGCAGCACATGATCAATTCCTACTACGACCACTAAACAAAACATGAACATAAGACCATTAACATTAATCTTACCTAACCATCTTAATCATTCCTATCTTCTCAACTGTTCCATTTTCATCCCATTTTCTATATCATTCACTAGAACGGTACATTCTTATTTGTCAATGAAACGAAAACTAATAGAACTGGGGTTGAAAAAACTAACTCTGAAGTTAAACGATAAACGTGTGGAGTGAAGGGAAGTGATCTAAAATACGATCGTTATAAAGACAAAAGAACCCAAGTATTAAAAACATGAAAAGAACAGATATCGACGTAGATAGAAAAAACGATAGAAAAGACAACCAACAGTTTGACTATAGCCCAAATTGTCTATATTGTTGGAAGAGAATCTAGGTGCAAAGGATAGATGAGGAAAGCAAAATCCAAACTCTTTACTCATATTTAATCTTAATGTTTATTTTGATCCTCAATACCCAAAATGTTCCTCATCTTTCCATCTTAATTTGGTGCCATATTTGACCACTTTCACTGTATTTGGTCGTCATCTCCATGGTTTTTTGTGTCTAATCCTTCGTGGGTTTCTACCAAATTGAATTCAACCATTATAAATTCAATGATTTCACTCAAAACGTCCGTCTGTGTGTTCTTTGTTTATGAACTCTGGTTTTGATCCTAGAGAGAGAAAGAGAGAGAGAGAAGAAGAAGAAGAAGATGAAGGGATGGAGATTATGGGATTGTTTGAAACGCTCATTCCTCTTACCCACTAAGCTGTTTCTTCTTAGAGTGAACTCACGGCATCTTGTTCAGCCTAAAGGTAATCTCTCTGTTTCTCTCTGTTTTTCTCTGTTTTTCTCTGTTTCTCTCTGTTTCTCTCTGTTTTTCTCTGTTTCTCTCTGTTTTTCTCTGTTTTTCTCTGTTTCTCTAAGTGGTTTTAAGAAATGGGTGAAAATGGCAGGCAATGGGAAGGGACTAGGGAGCCTATACAAGGACATAGAGTCGTGTGGAGAGTACAGAGATATCCAAGTGATGTGGGATATGATCCATTCCTGTCCTCCTCGCTGTCCATGAGTTGTCAGATGAGGCACCAATCTGTTCTCTGCAACAATGTTCATGTTCATGAAAACACAGAATGTTCATATATATAGTAATAATGCGAGAAGGGATGAGTTTTGGGATGTGGAAGTTTATCAATCAAAATCAAGCTTGTGTTTGATTGATGTGGTTCTTATCCTTGCCCCGATGTGTTCATGATCTGCAACAAAGTCTGGTTCTTGTTTGGGGTTTCCTATCAGTTGAAG